GGATGCTTTATGCATACATTTGCAAAATTAATGATTTTTCTTTGAAAAAGGCCTAAAGGTTTTTCTTTTCTTTTTTTTTTTTTGCCTGTGAATCTGAGTTTGTTGCCTACAAACACGCCACTGAAAAAGTGCTGCCTTTCATTTACATTCCCAGGATATTGGCAGCATCTCCAGTGAGCTCAGGGAAACTACACTATACACACAATCAGCTAGAGACACACATTCAGCCAGCACTCTGCCTTATCTGAATAGTTATCAAATCATACATCTGCTGGACCCAAAAAGCAGATTTAAGGCAGTGCTTCTCAACCTGGTGGCCGGGGACCTCCAGACAGTCCACATTTCTGCTCCCACCCATTCTCTGGCAGGGAGCTGGGAGGGAGCAAAAACATGGACCGTCTGAAGATCCCTGAGGACTGGGTTCAGAAACATTGATCTAGGGAAAGGACTCAGTGGACACCATAATCCAGTCCGCTGACACAGTGGTCTTCACCAGCCAACTCTCAGTCCTCTACCTCCAACAGCTATATCACTAGACCAGGATCAGCTACAAGGTCTCTTCCACAAAAACTCCATTTTAATATACAGTGCACTGCTGCATTTCTGTCATTTATACAACAAAGGTGTTACATAATGGTGTATCTGCCTGTCCACATATATCAGACTGACTCAGAAAGCCACAATTTCTTTCCTACTCACCTCATGTAAATGGCTAGATATTTTTACTGTAAAAAATTACTACTTTGCCTGAGAGGTGAACATTCTTAGAAATACAACTTACAGAGTTTCTGGTATTTTGGATCCTCAAACTCTACTTAGTAGGGGCTGATCCATCAGCACAATTTGTCACAGAAAGAGAATGTGCAATGGGAAGGTATCCTGAACCATATCCTGTCCTTCCTTTCCTCCTTAGATCATTACAGTATCTAGATAGAAAATTCAAACTTTGAAAGAATGCACAAAACATTAACAAAGTACTCAGATTGTGGTGTAACTTCTGTGTTGCTCATCGCAGATGTGCACGCATGCAAACACCGATTCACCAGGCTGCACATTTGGGACTATTTTACGAGACCCTGCAAACACAGGAATCTCCTGAAGAACACACGTGGAGCTGGGTCTATAAATTAAACCCCCAACCCTGGAGGTATGACGCTACTGTGCTAACAGATTAGCTACCATGCCACTCCATGATACTTATTATTACACTGCCTGGCAAATAAAGTCATCATTTGAATTTAAATCAAGAAGTATTGAAGAACCAATGACTGGATTATTATTACAGCTCAGCAACGTTATGCAGTAATAAAGTGAAGTCAGCTGAGTACTTGAATCCACTGAATGGTCAGGTTATCCCATCAATGGATTTTTTTTTTCCTAATGGTATGGGCACATTCCAGGAAGGTAATGCCAAGATTCATTGGGCTGGAATTGTCAAAGAGTGGTTCAGGGAGCATGAGGATTCATTTTCACACATGAATTGGCCACCACAGAGTCTCAACCTTAACCTCATTGAAAGTCTTTGAGATGTGCTGAAGAAGACTACAGAGTGGTTCAACTCACTGATCATCAATACAAGATTTTGATGAGAAATTAATGCAAATCTGGGTGGAAAAAAATGTTAAAATGTTGCATAAACACATGGAAGCAATGTGCAGGAACGTAACTCACACTTTACTGAACCCTGTGGGGAAATTCTCTTTATGTGTCCCCCAACTTGCTCTTTGTACAATACGCTGACCATGAAGGGCACCCAGGGAGATGGGGGGGGTAAAGGCCTTGCTCAAGGACCCACAGATGTGCCATAGCTGGGTTCAAACTCTCAACCTTCTGATCACAGGCACAGCCCACTGAGCTACATGCTGCCCCATGCACCATAATCAAAGCTAAAGGTGGTCCAACGAAATATGAAAGTGTGCAATTTTTTTTTGGCCAATCAGTGTAGTTCTACATATGTAAGGATGTGTAAAAATAAATTGCTCACAGGACGGACCCTGGACCCAAAGAATAGCAGAGAAAAGTATGTAGGTGAACCTGGATGGCATCCGCTTTTGGGGGGGGGCTATCCTAGAGCACATTTAGCCATTGACTCATTCCACCACGGTGTGCTAAAAAAACTTTACGGGTATTATTCCTGCCTTCTGCCGTTAGGCACTATAACACCCTGCGAATGACCCACCCCTGAGCCGTAACATGCAAGAAACAACCCATATCTGCAACAGTGAAGTCCAGTGCTATCTGTTTTTGAATTATTATTATTCATTATACCAGCTAATTCATTTTATTTGTTTAGCAGTATTTATTACATGAACATTCCATACTATTCTGTTTTTCAGGATTCCATTTTTGTACTGTGTGCTTCTAATTTGTCTTTTTCACTGAATGTTTGTCTGTGTGCTACATGCTTGCTGCTGTATGCACTAGACGTTCCTTCGGCGAGTGATGAAGTTCATCTAATTTATCAATCTTACATATAAACCACAGTTTACAAGAGCAAATTAGACATATTTATTACTCATAATATTGTGCGGACTGAATACTGCTCTCTCTGAACCGCATACCGCTATATGATCAGAACCCATGCACATTTAGACTGTTCTTAGTAATTAAATATATTTACCTGATGCTTCATAGATCTACAAGCAATGATTATACTTCTGCTTTAACTCTCAGGCCTTACAGAGGCCCCGAAGTAACTCTTCTATCAAAGGAATCTTAAGTTTATTCAGCAGAACAGATGAAGGAGCAGCCTCACTTTATAGAAGACAAGAGGTCTGAAAGTGACAAGAGTAATGACTGATGGAGATGGCTTTTCAAACTTAAAACTGAACAATCTTTCAAAAGAACTTTGAGTCTGAAGCAATATGGCTTTCAGATGTTTTTTTTCCATCTTCATCGTGGGTGTAAAAACAACTGATAAGAGGTTATTTAACACACTTGTGTCGCAGATGTCAGCGATAAACTGGTGCATCCCAAATGTGTCAGAAGGCAAATATTTATTGAAATCATTCCGCATCCGAACGCGCTAGACACTTGATGCTGGAGAGGAACAATCACAGACATGCCGTAATTGTTTTTATGAGGCAAACGTTATTAATCTGGCCTTGGTTTAAATGCACGAGCACAATCAAAAATGCTTCACCAAAGGGAATAAAACTAAGGTACAGCTGGAAGATATATATACATAATAAATTTAATCATATGGCAAATAACTGCACATCGCTCAAAAAGTCCAAAGTTCCCAATTAAAATCCAAAAATAAACAAGTGAAAATTAAATTAAATATATGCAATAAATCACCGTAAATTATATAAAATAGTTGCTAAAAGATTCAGCTAAATAAAATCCAGATGGTGCTTGGGTTCTGGACAAAGATGAGAAATGCCTCTGTCCCATCTTCAATAGCATCCCATAATATAACAGTACACACCATCAGCACTTGGGTCATGTAGGGTAAGAGCCCAGGCTTTTTATGATTATCCCTCAACAGTTAATTTTAGGCCAATCATATGCCCTTCAACATGAACAGTGGCTGCAACGATTCGCTGTTACGTCATGAATCAAAATAATTTTCTTAACTTTGAACTTGTAATTCCATTCTCTTTCACTAGCTGTATTATTAATAATGTATCTTTGTCCAAAACGTAATGCTTTGAGAAATCTCACACTTATGTCCCAGGATATCTGTGTTTATGTGAAACAATGAGCATCGCCCCGACTTGGAAAACAAGCTTGACAGTTTCAGCTCCTTGTCCCCGGGCATTCAGGTTAATCCGTAAAAGTAAACATTTAAAATCTTCAATGATAGAAGCGGGAAACTGGGTTCCACAAAAGGGTGCTTTAAGGATGCATAAAAACGGTTTGTGTCATTTAAACCTGGAACCGAATAATTCCAGATGCACCTGAGAGGATGAAACCCCATGTCTGGGTACGAGAGATTGGCGCACGCAGTAGTCACGGAGACCGCCTCTCCAGAATGCACGGTTCTCTGAAATAAATTTGACCCTAGTGACCAAGTCCAAGCAAACTGGTCATTCCTGCCAAAAATCCTGAAAATCCTACATTATCCTGTTGGCATAACGCACAAAGGAGAATGAAGCTCTGTCTGGCTGGTCAGACCTGTAAGTGAGACAATACTGGAACCCGAATCACCAGCTGCGTATGACATAAACTTGAAAATCTATAGTAGTTTTATAGGTGCTGTGAAAGGCACTCCAAAGTCAACACACAACTCTGCATCTCCTGATTTTCAGCCATATTAAAAGGTTATTTATAGCTATATGGATGAGCGTTGAATGAAGTTATTGTACGCATTTAATACCTCTGTTTACACAAAATGCTTATATATTCAATTAAGCCCAAGGCTGCACAAGTTATATGTTGGTGCTGTTTGTCAGTTTGGTTTAAACAGTTTATTTCATTTATTAATAAAAGGACATGTTGCCATGTCTAGCAGTGGCACCAGAATTGTTATACCTCCTTACACATGGAAGCCCAGTTTGCCTATATGCGCTTCTTATTAGCACTGTTGCCAACTCCTCAGCAAGGAAAGTAGCTATTGGCTGTCCCAGTAGTCGCTATTAGTCACTAAATAACGCCATCGCCTCATTTGCATAATTGTGTAATTGTAATGGATGCTGTAGGAGAGAGGAATAATGTCTTGGGAGAGACAAAAAGTGATTAAAACACCCTAAATACGTTTAGAACTACAAATGAACTTTCCTCTGTCGATTTTTGTTTTATTTTATATCACAATAACAACCCTTCTCCTTTATCCGGGCTTGGGACCGGAAAAATTGACCCAAAAGGGACACTCTCGCGGAGTTACTTTTATTAAGTTTGCTTAAGTGTACAAGTCACAGTAAACAAGTGAACAGTTAAGATTTTTAATCATAACATTTTTTTTTATATAAAATCTACATTAACAATCTAAACGGACCAAAAAATGACAATAGAAAAAAAAACTGTCAATGGCAATGTGAGAAAATGATGCACATCTCCTGCTCTGATTGCAGCTGGGCGGGGCTACTGCGCGAGGACTGTCCGCCTGTGAGTGCTTTGGGACGGGAGAGGAGCCGACAGCAGCACCCGCTGCTCGGTGAGAAGAGTAATGAATGATACGTGCTTTCACGTCAGAGTCTCCAAAAGTCTCCAATAACACCAGAAAAAGTAGCTAGATTTGTCGCTAGTCGCTTTTTTGAAAACGAGTCGCTAGAGGGGTCTAAAAACTGGCTAAATATAGCGACAAAGTCGCTAAGTTGGCAACTCTGGTTGTTAGAGCAAATGTCCACAAGAAGGCGTGGCAGTTCCAAACGGCGAAGCAGCAAAGCAGTGACGATAGAATGATTGCTAAGGAGCCCTGATCATACTGGTTTTTGTGAGCCTCATTATAGGCTGAGCTCTACAACAGAACACTGCTAACCTGCACTGTATGACACGTGGTTTGAAATCAGTGTTGAAATGGACAGGTCCAAAGCTTGTGTCCATTGATCATTAGAATCTGCAGCCTGATTAGATAGATAGATAGATAGATAGATAGATAGATAGATAGATAGATAGATAGATAGAAAAAGTAGACAGTGTAAAATACAATATATTATGCACACCTAATGCTATGAAATCCTGCTGCTGTATTTATTGTGTTTTATTCTCTCGAGGCACAGCAAACAAGCTGCAATTAAAAAGAATTCTAGTTCCCTATACAGGACGTATGAAACACTGTATTACCTTTGTGGAAGTTAAAAGTCACGAGTCTTAGACCAGTGACAGGTTCTGCTTCTATACTGATGGATACTGCAGTCATCGGGAAGCACTGTCAAAGTCACCCAGCATCTCCAAGAACAGGGAACATCAACATTATACAAACTTACAACAAAACACTTCCTCTGCGTTCACCAGGTACTTGCCTTCTCTGGAACCTTCCTTATTTGTTCTGCTTAATTTCTATTGGCCAGTTGCACACCATTCCAACATTCCTCGCGTGTGAAGGTAACGTTCCGGATTTCTCACGACTTTGCACTTTTCAAATTAGATTAAGACAACCTCTTTGCACAAAAACAAGTTAAAGTAAAACACACATTTCATATTACAAATCACAGCAAGAAAACATACTCATTAATAACAGGATGCATTTTTTCTTTGAAGCCATTTAATGTACGCCACCCACAAGTGAGGCCGATACCTTTATAATGTACACATTCCCAAACCTGAACTGTGGTAACTTTTAAAGTGTATATTTAGTTTTAATACCCAAATATCATTTCATTTATTCTTTACTCCCACACCTTCAAATTACTTGTCTATGGTGTTCTTGGGATGCTGCTTTTATATAAACCTTAAGCAGTACCTAAGTGATACTGCACCACCTAGTGGATAACAGTGGTATTAACGCTTACCGAGCATCCGCAGAAATATTCAATAAAAGGTTTTGTTAAATTTTGCGATATTAGCCGCTCTTGATTTCTCCAAAAGATTTTATATACTCATATTTGGTTCCTTATAAAATCGTAGTGTATCTCTAGAGTCTAGGGTGTCTGATTTAATTTTGGTTGCCCCTGGGTTGGTGTGTCAGTTTTTCTGTATTTCGCTGGGAAGCAAGGCGTTCGCAATGATTTCCCAGCCTTCGTTAAGTGCGCTTGTACAGTGGCTTGTACGGAAGGGAAGTGCAGACGATCTGTTGCTTTCTACGTCACACCTGCTACAGGCCTATTTACTCGGTTCCCAAGCATTCGGTTTTCTGGTAAGCCACTTTATTTGCCATTTTGTTGTCATTCCAAAGTTTCACCATCTACTCGAAGTTTACAAGGAGGACACATGTGCACTAAAGTGACGGGTTAAAATGACCTTCAGTGCAACGTTGTTTGACAGATGCGCATTGGTTGATGAAAATTATTAGTGAAAATGTTACTTGGGTACGTACTGTAATAATCCACATTTTCCAGGTACCATGTGCGAGCTATACTAGGAATATACTAGGTTTGTCGCTGGTTGGAATAGGCCTATATGTATTCTGTAGCCTATGTGTTTTTAGTGATCAGTCATTATGTCACTTATGTAGGCCTATTTGCATTATGGAATGTTTTACTATAAAAAGTAGGGCAATGAACGCGTAAATTTCACGTTTATAGGTTGTGTGTGTTCAGTTTCCCCAATTGTCGGCCTACAGTCGTTCATTGGTATGTAAAGTAATTAATGAACTGCTGGTCTTTTGATCAGTCTCACGTGTGACGTTTGATATGATGGATCGTAAATGCTGATTACAATTTTATCTATAGCTATTAAAGCTACTACAAAGGAACTAGCAACCTCAATACCAAGAGTTTGGATCAGTTCAGTATTGACGTGCTCTGGCAAACTGAAGAGCCGCAGGCTTTCAAGGAGCTCTGGTGTAAATGACTAAAATATTAAGCTGACTCAAACCTCTAAGGGCTCCAGAAGGCGAACTTGGGTAAATTATGTGGTTTACAAAGGGGAAAAAACGATAACTCCTGTACGCAGGCTTTAAGCGGATGAAAAATAGGCAGAAAGACAAAACATTTATTCTACTTTTGAGGTTTGGGATTTCGTAGAGGAAGGTCGAAGAGAGCACGGTTTTCAGCAAATCCTCCGCAACAGACAGTAGGAGATCCGTTCCTGACTCTGTTTTTTCATTGCATCTTGACGGCATTAGTCATATTTTCCAGCCTTCCCGAGCTTATAAAAACACAGATAACGAAGTTAGTGTCAGCTTGTTGAAATAATATGGTGCAGATCACGGGTCAAAAGGTATTACCGCAACACACGGCTGGGTTTCAAAACCGCAAAATCACAACCGCATTTTACATAACAATGTCTCAGCACATTATTAACCAAGAAAAGTCTTTTCATGCCTATAAATGTGTGCACTGCTATTTTACTGGTAAAAGTAACTTTTCGACCGCTAACCGCTGGTTGGCGATGCTCATCAGTAAAAATGAATCTGCGATTAACCGTTTTACACTTCAATATTTCTGGAAAATATCCGTAGCCTATTAATAAACATTAAGCACAGATGTAGGCCTGGTTAAATTCACTGCTTTTCATAAACAACCTTTGAAAAGCAATATGCCAAAAAAACTGCAGGCGTACAATTTTCCAGTATTTTTAATATTCTACACTTTTCATAATACACTGCTATTCATCATATAACAATTATTTCATTTAAATATAGCAAAATTGTACACCGGTACTATTATCTCCAAATCAAGAGTAACTACAAATTTGCAGAATATAGGAACAGACTTATTTGTCATGGCTTAATAATGTGTGTATATATTATATATACGCAAAAATTAATCAGATGAAATAAAAATGATATAGCGGCTTTGTGATAACTCTTCTTCTCAGTAAGTGTGCCGTTTTGCGACACCGGCCAGAGAGATTAAGGGGTTTCTTCACTCAGCCTCACAGTCGCTCCTCCTTCCCCAGGACGGCATCGGAGGACCGCGGTAAAGGCGTGTGCAGCACATCGGTGATGCGCTCTGCGGGTGTCGGCGTCTGGGCTGCAGAGTTTTCGGGCATCGCCACGCCGGTCGCCGATATACCGGCGTTCAGGAGCATCGCCTCTTTCCCGCCTCCAGGCGCTCAGTCTCCCGTTACTGGGGTTTTCCGACAGCTTTCCCTCGGTGACCGGCCTTCACTACCTCTTGTTTGTGGTGCGCACCTGCTGTCTCACCCAGCCTGCTGGTGCTGGACAAAATACACATTTTTTAAAAAAAATAAAAACATTCTGTTTCCTGGCATATGTTATTACTTTTTGGTAACGCTTTATTTTAAGCAGTCATTATACTACATTACACATTCCTTCATAATGCATTATACAGTACTGCATTCATTTGGTATTATAAACATGGCTATAAAATATATAAATAAATATATAAATAAATTTAATAAATTTTATAAATTTATATTTATAAAAAGGCATATCATCATAGTCATGTATTCTATGCATTATGAATGCTTTATGAAGCTCTCATCTATAATTCACTATAAATATCTTCATAAAGCAGTACAAAGCATCCTTAATGCTTATACCAACCACTATGATGCATTATTATGAAAGTATTTAGTATTAAATACTAAAGAGAGTATTAAAAATGCATGGGAAACATGGGTACAATGTGTTAACCTTTTTTCCAAATAAATATTTATAGCCATGTTTATAATACTTTATGACTGTATTACAATGAATTACAAGAACAGTTATTTGGCTTTATGAATATGGGCTTAATACAAAGTGTTACCCAATTTTTATAATGATGACTATTTCAGTAATTGTATGGAAAAACTCCACCAAAACTATTAGCAACATCACTACGACTAATAATAATAATAATAATAAACCTGACATAATAGGAGTAACTAGGAATATAATTTTGACTGTCCCCATTCCAGTATGATGATGGTATTATCTTAAGGTCACATGATCTTACTCACAACGTGGGTATCCAGGAGGGCGCGGATTGCTAGCGCTGCTCCCAAACGAGGACTGGAAGTTGTGGATGGTTTCCTGTAGGATCTGCCTCTCTCTGCCCTGCAGAATTCACACAGAGAAACACCGGAGGGGACTTCCCTTGGTCAGAGGCCCCCATATTTAATTACCCCATGCTTCTCCACCCACCCACTGAGGGGTGGTCAGGGGTCTGGTGGTCCACACCTTTCCGGCGTTCAGCTCCGAAATGGCGGCCAGGATCTGCTGCCGGGGCCCGTCCGTTTTAATTCCCAGCTCCTTTAAGTCCCCATCGGTCAGTGTGAGGAACGCCTCCATATCCACCTGCAATGACACAACGTGCCCTTTGGTCCAGAGTCGGGATCCGCAGGAGAAAACCAGCACCGTATTGCATGTAATAGCTTCTCACTGCTACACTCATTCATTCTGATAGGTGTCTGATACAAATCCATTAAAGAGAACAACGGCATCGGTTGCAGTATTATTTTGTGAGAAGTACAACAGTAGACAGAGGCCAGATTTGTGGTAGGCAAAGCAGTCAATTGGCTGACCTCTTGTTCTTCAAAAATTGGCTGGTATTTTTCCAGGGAGAGTTTTTTCAGAATGCTTGACAGTTCATCTGCAAAACACAGTAATAATAATAATAATAAAGTGGTAAGAGTTTTAGCCAAAAAGAGCATAAAAAGTATTAGCGATTGGAACAAATCACTGCAAGAAATCGGGGCAGCTGTTTCTTGTGTGATATCGGGCAGGAGGAAACATAATGGGGAATGAGGTCCAGTATATCTTGCTCAAGCAGAAATTACAACGTGAATATTCTAGCTCCTGTATCTAAACAAGCAGAGCATCGTACATGAATTTGCCCATATTTAAAACACAAAGGTCATGGGTTTTAATCCCAAGAAGCACGCATAAATTATAACCCCTCTCTGTAAGTTGCTTTGAATAAGCGCATAGGATAATTGAATTAAATGTAAACGAACAAGGATGCTATTACAGCGCCCCCTAGTGGTGTAGCCTCACCCTCATCGGTGATAGTGCCACTGCTGGAACCGCCGCTGCTCTTAGACCGGGGATGTGAAGAGGTGGAGGATAAGGAATCCCCGGCTGGGAGCTTGGGGGTCGGGGATGGGGAGGGAGTCAGGGTAGGGGAGGTGCTCTTTGAGGTAGAGGAGTTCCCAGACTGGGGCCTTTTCTTCAGGTCTATCTTCTGCAACACGAGAAACAAACAAAAAAAAACAGCATAGGATGAGGGATGGTCCAGAAACACGGGGGCGGGCACCATGTGCCTGAAATCGAAATGAAAAGATTACACAATGTGCTGACAACAGATTTAACTAAAAAAATAAAAATGCAGTGCCAATGTTATTATAAAAGTCTTATCGGAGAACCACAGCTCTTTAAAATAAACAAAAAGAGTTGGCTTTGAACCTGGGTCAAAAAGACATTTACTACCATCTGCCTTTTCCACATAATAATAATAAAAGCAAATAGTTATCATAACCTCAACCCGCCGACCAAAGCCCAGAATCAGATCTGGTTTTCCATCAAGCCCAGGACCTCAGTGTTAATCCCACAATCTAACAGCGGTGTCTAAATCCCGTCTTATATCTAACAGGAGAGCGTGGGGAGCTGGGGATTAAGGAGCCCGTCTGGAGTGCTTTACCCTCCTAGTGTGAACGTCACTGGCCACCAGGCTGCGGGTGCTGTGAATGTCAGGGAGGGTGACGTCAGGCGCGGGAGGGGTCGGCGTCTCCATCGCGGGAGGCTTCTGTTCAAGCAAGCCGGCGGCCTTCTTCCTTTGGGCTACAATCTGGGATAGGACGTTGTCTGTGCTGCCCCCTATGGGTGGAGGAAGGGAAATACATTCCGCTAGCTTTACCTCACAAGCTGAAAATATCAAGCCATATGAAGCGAGAGAGGGGCCTCACCAGAGCGGTTGTGAGGGTCGGCGCCATGCCGGCTTACACCTGCCACACCGTTGGACCCCCCTGAGGAGTGTGGGGAGTAGCTGAAGTTCCCCGAGTTCGAGGGAGACGCGGGGCCCTTTGTGATGCTGGGGAACTTGATGGACCTCGTCACTGCACGACTGACGGATGTCTACGACACCCAAGGGGAAGCAGATAGTCACATGGGGTGCTGATCTGAGGCCCTAGAAAAAGCTTTTTTTTTTTAACGTGCCCCCTCAACACTTAATGTAGAGAAGAGCATTTCAGCAACATAAAAGGGTAAAAATGTACAAAATAAAAACTTTTGGAGATCAAAGTTGAAATAATCTTTTGAGAAAAAAAAGTTGAAATGAACTCAAGAGAAAGAGAAGTGATTGTGACCAATGTGTAGGAGGTGAATCTTAAAAACTCTTATAATTCTTTTCTTTTAGGTGGCCATAATTATTTTCTATATATATAACTTCATTTTCCCAGATAAATTAAATAGAGAACTTATAGTAAAATTTATACAAAAACTTATACAACATCCAGAGTTTTGAACCTATGACATTCTGGTGTTAAGGAACTGCCCTACCCCGCCCCGCACTCACGATGTCGGAGCTGCCGCTGCTGTTGAAGTTGCCTTTGCTGGGCCTCTGTGGCATGGGAAGCCGCCCCCCCGACTCTGCCTTGCCTTCCTTGGGGGTACGGGAGCGGTCCGAGTTCCACGGCTCGAAGCTGGACGGCGGCAGGAAGGGTGGGATCACTGCCTTCAGCTTGTCACTGGGGAGCCTCGTCAACGGGGCACCGTTTCGGAGCTGCAGTGTGGAGAGATGGTGAATGTACAGTAAGGCATTGGTTCCCAACCCTTTTTGCCTTTGACCCCATTTTGACCCCATAGACATTTTTTTTTCTAGAATTAGTTTTTGATCTAGTAGCCAGATTAGTGCACAAAGTCACATTTTATTTTCCCTGATCACGTGTACAGCTAGGCGAGCTTGTCTTTACAAGGCTGAAGGTGATCGCGATCATTTTATTTGAACTAATTTATATTTCTTGATATCAGGTTTTTAAACAGACTTTGCAACGAGGACTTGTTTGGTCTGTTTCCGACGGCGCAAGACCGAACCAATTCCATGTTACAGATGTAGCAACCCCTTTCTTGGGCACAAGCTGCAGCTTTTCTCCTGTCGTTGCCATGTTGTTTGTGAATCTGCTACAGTGTTTGGGTGCGCCGTGCTAATTTACCCGTGAAGATCGGTACGTCGCATTAGTTCCGCTTTTGGCACTCGCGTGTAAAATATGTAATAAAATTTATTTTCATAAAAACACATCGTCCTGAACTGTAAATTCGAATTAATCGATAAAATCAATGTATCGCCCACCTCTAATTGTATGTGGTGTTTTAATCATAATTTTTAAAAGAATAATCATTAGCTGAAAATTTTTTTTTCAATTACTATACATTTCAGGGGACCCCATTTGAATTCCAAGCAACCCCACATGGGGTTTTTACCCCAAGGTTGAAAAACACTGATGTAAGGAGAAATAAGTGAGGGAACGAAGCAGGGATGCTTCAGACCATTAATGGATCATGGTTATACTGTATGTCTAACAGGTATTTCATGTTTAGTGATGGCCAAATTCATTTTCATGAACCATTTGCTATATTTTTTGACTCCACTAGATGGTGCACTCTGTTCAAAAATGTCTCAAAGCATGTCCCAAAGCCAACCAAGAGTGCCATGGTGTGGGGTCAAAAATACCGCAAATAGTTCATGAAGCTTCACTTGGCCATCAATATTTACTTTACATCTTATTTATTTATGATAAATCGACATACAGTTGAGAAATCAGGGTGAGACAGTCCCAGGAGAAATTGGGGGTTAAGGAACTTGCTGAAGGGCTCAACACTCTAGCAACATTGGGATTTCAACCAGTGACTTTCTTATAACAGGCACAGTACCCTAACCCACTAAGACACACACAGCCATTGCTTTATAAATGTTATTTTTTTAACACGTGCCCTGGAACTTCATCTCTAGCAACAACACAAACCAACTCGTTCCAGTAGCCAAACCCCTTATTTTTTTCTTGCAAACTCCCAGACATCACCCAGTTCCACTGGAGGCTGCACCCATACCATGGTGGTTATGAGAGAGTCCTCCTTCTCTGTGCTGCTTCTGCCAAGCCCTAAAAAAAAAAAAAAATTAAGGAATGAAGGCAAAATTAAATAACACCATAATTCAACATTCTGACATTATTCAGCTCAAGAATCTTCAAATTTAATTATGTCTAATCCGACATTGTGAAGTATTAGTTTTAGATGAATTATATGCCACTTGTGGAGATCTCTGTGCTTATGAAGATGGCCTGGCCTCTGTCCATGGCGTCCCACTGCTCACCGCTGTCCTTACTCTTGGAGGTCCACGCCGTACCGAGGTCGATGCTCCCCAGGCTGGGGGGTCGTGTTTCTGTTCCGCACGGGCCGCTGCTCCGCCGGTCCGCCCTCATGGTCGACTCCAAGCTATCTGGGGTATCTGTGCCGCCTGGGAATGGGGCCAGTCGATTGGTGGACAGACCGTGCCGCAGGGTCCTGGTCAGCTTCAACCTCCGGAAGCGGTTGGACATGCGGCTCCACCAGGACTGTGGGCGACACAGCAGGCAGGGGTGAGAGAATATTGCCATGGGAACTGGAGAGGTCACTGCTGAAGACCCGGAGATGACGAGAGAACATAGAACAAAACTGTCATTGGTGGCTTGACACTGCTTGATAAAAATATTTTCTGATACTTCAAAGATGTGAGTGTCAGGTAATAATTAACCTACATATCTATACAGCATGTGCTTTTATAATTGAGCAAGCAGGGTTAGCTAGTGATGAGCAAATGAAGCTTCATGAACCATTTGCTGTATTTTCTGATCCCACTAGATGGTGCTCTCCATTCAGAAAAGGGCACAAAGCATGCCCCAAAGCAAACCAAGAGCACTATCTAAAGGGGTCAAAAAATACAGCAAATGGTTCATGAAGCTTTATTTGCCCATCACTAGGGTCTGCTAGTGTCCCTGTAGCAATTGGGCATCTGGGTCGTCCTCAAGGGCCGAACAGTGACATCACTCTGCTGATCATGTGATTCTTTTGATCATGTGATTAGTCCTAATCTACAGCGCCACACCAACCTAGTGCGCACTGGTTTAAGGGTCATAGTCAGGTTTGGCAAAAGGTTTTTGTCAAATGAATAGTTAATTTTGGAACTGTCAGTACTAAATGGTGATAGTAAATATTTAAATATAAGAGCATAACAGAGCTTGCTGTGTTTGTTTTGTCTGTGGTCTCACATGCTTAATACATGGACTATTGAAGTAGCTGTCGCTTTTAACAGGCGTAGCATAAAATTCGTCCACACAGCTTCCTGTTGCACTGCACCTTTAAGCCCCCCTTGTCGTCAGGTGGGAAAGGCACATTCAGGCTCTGCCGGCTGCGGGATCGCGCGACGGACGACCTCGTCTTCTGCCGGCCCTTGTCTTTGTCCACCTGCATGCAGACAGAGGCCAACAGTCTCACCAGCTCCGTATCTGAAGGAAGAAAGCAGAAGGAGATTAAAGAACCATTGAGCAGCAGGATGAAAAGCCAGAAACATCATATCAACCATTATTACATACCTGGGTCATTCAGCAGCATGACGAGATCAAAAGCAGTGTATCCGTTTTTGGCTCGAAGATTGACGTCTGCTCCCTGGTTCAGTAGATACTTCACAACATCTTTGTTCCTAGAGAGTAAAGATAGAAACCAAAAATCCAGAAATAACACAATAAAATCCTGCCATAATAACACGTGCTAAGTAAATAAACTCCAGGGGTCTTAAGTCAAAGTGGATACAAGCTACAAGGGTCTTTACTATTAAATAGGTCAGTGTTTAGGAAAATAATGAGAGTGACAATGGTGATGAACATATGAAAAGTACATGAATTTGCCCATATTTAAAACTTTTCAGCAGCAAAACCCACCAGCAGGAGTCGCAATTATCAAATGCCACACAGTATTTCTTATAATAAAGATCCAGCTATTATTGTAGCGATTTTTATTACTTGGGGATGAACAGTCTGGGGGACTGTTGCATCTCCCAGTCTGTTGCACCCTCTGCTGGTAATTCATTGCAAATAACTACTGAGGCCATGGATTAATTCAAATGATAAATTCAGTGACATGCATCCGACATGTATCAGTGACCAATGTATTACTCCCAGTATTTCGAAAATGCTACAAAATTTCAACAGTTACTTTATTTATTGATTAATTATTATTAATATTCTAGTCCTTGGAGAGGTACGTATGTATTTGAAAGTTCAAAGCCACGTCAGAATTTGGCAAGAACTAGGTATGGATATCAATTCATATAACCAGACAGATCTGGAACCAGATAAAATATGATGCGCGCGCACACACACACACAAACACACACACACTACGCATATACTGTATATGTAAATATCATCTCTAGTAAAACTGAAGACATAAAAAAATTAAATAAAAAGTACACAACTTAATATTACAAGGCGTGCATCAAATATGTTTGTGATAAAAATTCTAAAACCCTCCTTAGTGAAACATAATGAACAACTTGCAATGTAGTCTAGCCTAGAGTCCTCTATGGATCTGAAATTTAAGCATATTAAAACTGCCAAGCTTATATGCAATGGGAAAATGCCATGACTGATGCAAAACACTGATGCTTCTTAAAAAACAAAAAGCCAATCAAAAAGAGCCAATGTTCACACTATTATTTACAGACAGGTAGTAGGCTATAATTAACCTTGTGAAATTCAAGCCAAAACACCAGCATATAAAGATTAAAATTGACATGTTTTCAAGAGGTCTTATACCGTGAAATGCTGCATTTAGAAGATTAACATTAGCCAGCCTAGTTTCATAGCTTGGCAAGGCACAACGACCTGGTAGCACCGTGACCTGTTAGCACCGTATGATAATGATTACAATAAGCCGTTTGGCCTTCCAGTCGTTGCAAACATCACACTGGAACAGTTGCACTTTCAAATGATTTACCAGAAGCTGTTGTGAAAACAATGTTAATAGCAGTGCCAGATGGGTGACTGTGTCACGGCGTCCGCGCAGATGGGCACCCACCCGTGATAGGTGGCCTGCATGAGGGCAGTCCAGCCGTGGACACTGTCCTGCTTGTTCATGTCGCCGTTCTTCTCCACCAGCAGCTGCACCACCCCCAGTTGCCCGCTGACCGCTGCGATCATAAGCGGGGAGGCGCCGTCCGCGTTGGCAGAGTTCACCTGGGCCGGGTCCTCTTCCAAGATCTCCCTCACCAGCTGGGAGCTCCCTATCTCGCATTGGACAGCGGGGAAGAGAGACTGGAATGTTCCAGGCTCCAAAATGTCACCTTTGGTACTTTTCAGAAAGGTTTTTAACTAAAACAGGCTCAGAAGAAGGCCGTTTAACTAGATGTGAACACAACTGTCTCCTAAACAACAAAGTAAAATTTTTTCAAAAAACTGATACAAATACAAAATACAAAATTTCTCTCTAATTCACTCTCTTTCCCTCCATCAATTCGAATTTGGGAGAATTTCAGAACTGGAAAGGTATAAGAGGCAGAGGTCCACAAAGTACAAATCCAGACCAAGATTTTGTTTCAACCAACCAGCTGAGTACTCAGTGACTGTGACTCTTTATGCTCAACTGGTTGGTTGAGATAAAATCTTGGTCTGGATTCCTACTTTCTGGACCTGAACTTTTCACCTCTGACAGATGGGAATTCAGAAAGGACTGGTATCTGGTACCCAGTTGCAAATCCGGACAACTATTAGTAGGGGTGTAACAATGCATCGATTTGTATCAATGTATCGATTAAATGGCAAACGTTCCGGTGCATCGACGTGACCACATAAATGTCGATGCATGCGTTTTTAATTTTCTCGCCTGTTCCAGTATTGTTTTCATGATCCACTCTGACGGACACATGGTCTACACCAGGGGTAGCAATTACGTCGATGGCAATCTACCGGTTGATCGCAATCTACCGGTCGATCGCAAAGGTATTCTGGGTAGAGGATGGATGATGCGTTCAACTGCGCCAGCTGTTGTAAAACTCTAGACAGCTACTGAGTCGCCAAATTAGCCTCCAAGTTATTTCAACTAAACTTAAGAGAGGGTATAAAAATGAATGGGGGAGCTGGACCAAGTAAGAAGCCAAAAACCTACCACTTCCATACGGAATGGGAGGAGGACTTTTTTCACAATGTCATATTCGAAGCGCATTTGCCACATCTGTACCCCAGAGCTACACTTTTACGCTGTAGGTGGAGGTTTGTAACATAACGACTGCAGGTGGCATCATGCAGCTGCACCCATTTGTTTCAGTCAGTGGTGTTTGAACAATCCAGTGGCAAGCGAGTAGCGACGACGTGTTACACTCTCCTAGATGGTAAGGTGTTAGAGTGGTGGAGAACTCATCAGACAGAGGTTCCTCTCGTTGCAGACCTAGCTAAGACTTATTTGTGCATACCGGGTACTAGCGTACCTTCAGAGTAGTGCTGTGTCGATAAAATTGATTCTCTGATTCTTAATTGATTCTCATAATAATTCCTAAAGACCGATTCGTACATCCAAAGATCGATTTTTTTAACATTTTCTGCGCATTTTACAGCTAAAATAGGAAAAAAAGTCCAGACGGGCATTTCGAGGCTAATATCTTTAATCACGCGCGTCGTGAATTCAATGACGCGACAGTAGGTGATGTTAAAGTTCACCGGGGAAAACTTTATTAACAACATGGTGTCGGACACTAGCGATGCTTTGAAAATGCCCGTAACTTGAAAAGCTGCGGTCTGGCAGCATTTCGGGTTCAGAACGGACAAACAGACAGATGAGCTTCACAAAAGCAAAGCGATTTGCAAGGCATGCCAAATGGAGGTGAAGTATTCCGGAAATACGTCCTGGATCTGTTCGGTAATTCTGCCCAACAGCATGTTTGTGAAAGCAATTGTATCAACATTCTGGGAGGGGGATTGGTCCTTACAGCCATCTTTAACTATCAATACTTCATTAATTTGTCATTGAATGTCAATATAATACTAGTATTAATATGTTTAACAACTACACAGTCATGTAATTAAGGTAACGGCTAAAAAAAAAAAACTGTTTTAAAAACACTGACCCAAATCGATATCGGATCGGAACAGATTGGATCGAATCGTGATAATCGATTCTAAATCTTGAGAATCGGAATTCGAATCGATTCTTGAAATTTCAATCAATACCCAGCACTACTTCAGAGCGTGTGTTTAGTACGGCAGGTGTTATAGGACGCTACATTCAGAGCACACAATCTCCTGAACACGTTGAACATTTAATTTTTCTTAAAAAAAAAAACCTCTCAAAGACTACTGACACCGCAGAAGTCAGTCATGATAATCTTCTTCATTCTTCATGTCTGTCCATGCAGTGTTTTTTGTTTGACTTTATTGCACTTTATTTTACTTGTTATGGACATACTTTTTGTTACACTTTTGTTTTTGTCTGGAGAAGACACCAATTAGTCACCATGTTAATCTACATTCATCCAAGGTTTTTATTTTTACCTTATTGCATTTTATTTTGCTTGTTTTATGGGACATACTTGACTACACTTTTGTAATATGGACTAGATTTTGTTTACAGTTCCCAATAAAATATGATAAAATGCTAATTATATTTGTCTTTGTTAATTCATTGAAATGTAAAGGATTGGGAAAATGTTCTTTGAGCAACGTGTAGCCGACTCACCTAATTTTAAGGCGCTGAATACATCTGGCCTCTTCTTCTCATCAGCTTAAAGGGTTAAAAAAAAATCAGACATGGTGAACTTTTAAAGACAAAACGAATGTGCACAAAAAAATATTACTATGTTAATCAGGTCTAAAAAAGTTAAAGCTTTAATGAATCCTACAGTAGTTGATCCAGGTTCTGGGAAAACCCCCTGACAGCCATTTCTAGATAACTGTCCATCAAAAACCAAGCAAAGGCAGAGCTGAGCAGTGTGTGGCTTCAGTGGGTCAGGATGTCACGCCTGGGATGGAAAGGTTGCTGATTCAAATCCCAGGGCTGGTGGACTGATTTCACTGCTGGGCTCTTGAGCAAGATCTTAACCCCAAGTTCTCCAGGGACTGTCTGGCCCATTGACAGGTGTGGAACGACCACTTACACGACCTTTGGGTTAAACCATTAATGCTGTGTTCATCTGTTCTGCAGCTACAATATATTTTAAGCACTTACAGCATGAACATGTTATGGGCATTAGGATTATCGATTTCTCAAAAAAATTATGTTCCTTTGGATAAAAGTGTCTGCTTAACTTAATGTATAAACATGCGATACACACTTTATAATCATAATACTATATGGTAGTTCATACTGTACTTAACAGAAACAACTAACAGTAGGACAGCTGGACGCATCATTAAGGGTTTGACTGAAAGGTAATGGTATGCTGTCATTCCACACCTACAAATGCGTCGGACGGCAAATCAAATGCGTAAAGAACGGTGGCGCTACAGTGTTAGCCACACCCCCTTAAAGGGACAGGGGAGGGTGTTAAGTTCATTACTTCCCATCATGCATTTACAACACTGGAAGAAACGAATCGGTAACGGCTATTAGCGGGGTGAGACTTTTCACACCAGCACAAGTAAGGACTTCAAAGAGGCTGAGAGGATCATCTGATCCTATAACTAATCTGTTTGTATCCTTCTCTGTTGTACAAAGTTTCATAAATCAGTATCAAGCCAGGAGGTAGAGGCTAGTATGTGAATCAGGCTATTTTTTACAGAAAACTACAGTGACAGAAAGGACATTGCTAATCAGGATGATTTAATACTCAGCATGATTTAAGCCGAACCATAGTGTCTGGCCTGTTGTAGCTGTGTTTAATCTCTGTAAGAGCAAATTTAAAGTTTAATAAAAAAAAACCCGATGGTACCACAGGTCTACCCGACTCACCAGTTTCATTAACCATGAACAATGTGTCATGTCTGGTGTTAAAGATCGTAAAACTATCTGACTTAAACATGTCGTCATTTAAGTAATAACTGCGAGGGGAGGGCTAAATGCTTCCAGGTGATAGCGTGACGTTTATTCTCGCTTGACCGAATAGCCCTGAAAGCGGAGCAGAACGGTCAGGTTTCGAGCGGGTACCTGACTGCGGCCGCACGGTGGTGACCAAGTCCAGGTAGCTCTTCACGTCCTTCTGCTGGAGCTGGAGGGCGATTTCGAAGGCGGTTTTGGAGAGCACGTTGAGGTGGTCTGGATCTGCACCACGCTCCACGAGCTGCTGGGCTACCCCCACCTTCCCGCTGAGCACGGCCAGCATGAGGGAGCTCCAGCCTGTGGTCCTCAGGCTCACGTTGGCATCGGCGCCCCACTCCAACAGCAGCCGCACGGTGGACTCAAACCCGTGCTGGGCTGCCACCATCAGTGCCGTAATGTCCAGAGGCTCCCGCCCGCTGCTGCCATTGTTATTGTTGTTGCCGTTGCCCTCGGGCATTTCCAGGTGGTCATAGTCATCAACAAAGGCCCCGCTCTCCATCAACAGTTTGACCATGTTGGTACGGCCCCCCCTGGCGGCCATTGTCAGCAGACTGGCCCCCATCCTGTTCTTACTGTTGATCTCCGCTCCGTTTTCCAGCAGGATGTGGGCAACGTTTAAATGCCCAAATCTGGCGACAGAAAAATTGATAACCAGTAAATTGTGAAGCTCAATCTTAAAACACCACAATGTTAAAACACGCGACCGTAACTGCATCAGTGATCGGCTGAGAACGGTAAATTTGTCCATGCAAATGTAAAGTGTAAAGACACATACGCCGTAATCTAATATAAGAACCACTCGCACCAGACGCTTCCAAAGAATCTGCGATACATCAGCTATAAATTATTTTCATTAAAAGAAAAAAAACACGAAATAAACGACGACATGATGGTCAACAGTCTGTCATCTGTTTACCCACATCTTTCGTCAGACTCCCCATCAGTTTAAATGAGATTTAAAAAGTTTACACTGAGTGAAGTTGGACATTCGTAATTATTACAGTGGCAGAAATGGCAAGTAACAAAGTGGTCCAAGATAGAGTTAACAGACGCACGTCTACGTGCACTTATTTGCGCTGTCAGCAAAGCAGCGGTTCCGCACCTCGCAGCCTGCATGAGCGGCGTCCACCCGTAGTGATTGTGGCTATCCACCGAGGCGCCCTTCCGCAGCAGGAAGCGGACCAGCACCTCATGTCCGCTGGCCGCGGCGAACTGCAGCGCCGTGTTGCCCTCCTCGTCCGTGCAATCCACGGGCACCGGCAGCGCCAGGGATCGGGAGACGCCCGGGTCGCACTCGGAGCCCGCGTCCGTCCGCAGCCGGCCGGACTCGCCAGCACCGGGCTCCAGGATCTTCCGGGCCGCATCGTAGTCGCCTTCATCGCAGGCACGGAAGAGCAGCAGCGAGCTGGCCGGCACACCGTAACTCATCGCCGTGCGATCTCAAGGCTCGGCCGCACTCCTCTCTATCCAGCGGTTTCCATCGTCCCATAATAAAGAGGCATTGCTTTCTAAAACTTTTGTAAGTTTCTAGATCACCCCAATATAACGCACTATACGTCACCTACCACGCATCTCTGACCAACATATAAAGTAGATCAATAAATGTCGTGTATTTCTTTTATTCTAGTGTCTAAGAAAATAAATCCCAGCCGGCGTACATAGCTAAATATCCATGCATCTCCGAAATCTGCTCCCTCAAAGTGCAGGCGCATGCGTGACACGGGAGACGCAGAAAGACCCTGCTCCAGACCACCTCCTTTCTACCGTAAAATTGGACAAAAAGGAGTAGAGAAAAATTTCGCACAGCTGACCGCAAGCACTGGACCGCTACAAATCCGATGCCGTTTATATAATATCTGCGCAATAAGAAATATATACAATTATCCTGGACCGAAGGTATATCATATAAGAACGTAGAATAAGAATGGTAACTCCTAAATATTCTTTTGCAACAAATAAAGAGGACGGGCACCACGGTGGTCAGTGGGTAGCTTCATGATGTCAAAATATCCATATTATAACCCGAGGTAAACTTGAGTAATGTTTTAAAAGGTCTTGCGTTTGCCGATTCTCTCACCTCTGCTGCTTCTTGTACTGTGCTGGGCAGCCCACTGCAAATCATAATGACCACAATGACCACTCCCCTCTGAGCAGAGGGGGGCAGTCACCCCATCTCTCCAGAGACCCCCATAACTTAATTGTAGAGAGATTTATACAAAATGATCCACAATAATAATTATTTTATATTACTATGACTGGGCAGCACGGTAGTGCACTGGTTAGCACTGTGGCCTCACACCTATGGGACCTGCGTTTGACCTTCTGCCAGGCTTCCATGTGTGTGGAGTTTGCATGTTCTCCCCGTGTCGTTGTGGAGTTTGCATGTTCTCCCCGTGTCGTTGTGGAGTTTGCATGTTCTCCCCGTGTCGTTATGGAGTTTGCATGTTCTCCCCGTGTCGTTGTGGAGTTTGCATGTTCTCCCCGTGTCGTTGTGGAGTTTGCATGTTCTCCCCGTGTCGTTGTGGAGTTTGCATGTTCTCCCCGTGTCGTCATGGGGTTTCCTCCAGTTTCCCCCCACAGTCCAAAAACATGCTGAGGCTAATTAGAGATGCCAAATTGCCTGTAGGCGTGTGAATGAACCCTGTGATGGGTTGGTGCCCCATCCTGGGTTGTTCCCCACCTTGCACCTGGCACCTCTGGGATAGACTCTGGACCTCCCATGACCCTGAATAGGATAAGCGGATTTGGAAAATGGATGGATGGACATTACTATGACGCTGCACTGGATGGATGGATGGATGGATGGATGGATGGACATTACTATGACGCTGCACTGGATGGATGGATGGATGGATGGATGGATGGATGGACATTACTATGACGCTGCACTGGATGGATGGAAGGACAGACTAACTTGGCTTATGAACAGACAGCTAGATGAATTTGATATCCTTGTTTAATATTTTATATTTAATAAAGCAATCTCCCTTCTATACGTAGGCTACCCCGTGGTTACAGGTGTTATTATATAACCATTATGGTTTATGTAACCGTGATTATAGTTTTGCAAATTGTGCATTGCTGTATTCGCATTTCCACTGTCCCACAAGTATTATTTTTTCTTAACTGGAATGGAGGTGTCATATGACGTGTGTCTCCTGGGACAGGCAAGCCAGGACTGGGAAGTGGTTATGGAGATTGAAAGGATGCTTGTATGTTTCCTATCACTCTGACCAAATAACACACAAAAATGAAAAATGAAATCAATCCTACATTGTCAGAAAAAACCACGGTACCAATTTGTACCATTGAGGGTACAATTACTTGTCAGTGGGGCTGCACCCTCAAAGGTCTGCCAATTGTACCCTACATAAATGTATCTTTTAGTCTAATTTAATGTACAGAAATGGGCTCCGAGGAACATTTTTGTACCATTATGGGTAGATTAATGTCGCTTGTACTTTGGGGAACAAAACTGTATTGGGGCTTTACCCATTTTCTTGATAGTGTATACATTTTTACTAATCATCTGATATAACAGAATGCTCCTTATTATTTGTGAATAATTTTAAAGATGTTGTCTTTTCCCAGTTACTTAGATAGGCTAAGTGCACATCTTAGAAACATTGATACAGTGTTACATGAACTATATGAGTGTACTTGCTACAGCAGGATACAAATTATTAAATAAACACTCAAATTCCTCTACAGATTTTCTTAATGGAAAGAATAAGGAGGAGACGAATATTACTGTTGTGACATATGTAAATTTTGGATCGGAAAAAACAAGCAGTTTTTGCGGGTGAATGTAGCCTATCTAACATCCGTTTATGAAAGCACCTAACCTTGAGTAGATGAGCGTGCAGTGTGAAATTAAGTTGACACAGAGCATGCGATGTCATTAGTCCTCAATTATAGTGCAAGGGGATATCAGGACTCACAAGCCAGTATTTTTCACACATGTTCAGCGTGGGCATGTCAGATATATTCATCTGGATGCGCGGCTAACTGTACATGCATCATTTGAAACATGCATTACATACCAGTCCAAGGTGATTAAAATAGACAGTGCAGTATGTGTTAAGGGGATAGGCCTACATGTGTCAGACATTATCAGTTTACTATTTCTGTAATACGCAACATAAAAATGGATGGTTTCAAACAGCTTAAAACATATTGCCTCTTGGTGTTATTTTCTGTGGTCGGGGCGATATAGCATTAGTAATTTAAACATTAGGGGTTGACAAGACTAAAAAAAAATATTACTGACTTAGTGTAGGTCGATGATATTTTGAGGCGTTTTTGTTTAACAGGCTGAGCATTTCACAACATCTCGTTATTCAGGTAAGCAGGTCCGGTTTTTGGTATAAAACGCTCCGTCACAAAGGAATTCAAAGCAATCTTAGAATGAATTCCACGTGATCTTTAAGGACTACATGCAGTTTAACAGCTTTATCTTATATCCCTGTTTATATCAAAACCATTGTCTTATAAGACTTATATTCCTGTTGCTGTAGTGATAACTGTCAATCAATCATACTAACTGATCATAAGTGATGGAGACGAGCGAATGAGACACCATAGGCTCCATGAAGTACGTGACTTGGCATTCCTCATGAATTATTGATTTAGGATCTGGCTGCAGTTTCAAACATTGGCCAGAAGGGGATAGTAGAGCACCAAATTATAATCATTAAGATAAACTGCATAGTGGGCTTGCACTGAAGGATTTATTTTGTGGGGATAGATGAAAGGCGTTTATCCCCCTCGATACACATATGAGAAGCAGAAAAGCTGTGTGATCCATGCATCTTTTATCCACGTATCCAGTACACAACTATCGACTTAATCATTTAGTGCACATTTTGTCTTAATATTAGATATGCACCCTAAACCTTTACTGAACAAACAGTAGAAAGACTGATGGACCCACCAACCCTAACCCAGGAAGTGCAGGACACATGGCAGGATAAATTTCTGAATGTCATAGTTAATGCAGCTGGATGTTTCTCACTTTGGATAATTGTAACTCTTTAATAAGCATGTCGTGACAGACTGGAATTACATCATTAGTGTCCAGTGCCTTCTGTCCTGCTTCCTGGGTTAGGCTCCATACATCCATCCATCCATCTAGGTTCACAGCCTCCCTATGCTGGGTAAGTTGTCATGGAAATAAAGGGAAACCTAACAAACCAAAAATATATTACCAAATATTCAATGTTTCATCTCCTAGTATCTCCTAGTTCAAGTTCTGCATTCATTCTTCTATATACCAGTTTCCCATCCCAATATATTTGTCTCATTATTCCTATGAATCCTGTCAGAAAACAGTGTAGGTTTAGTGGTTAAAAACGTAAAAAAAACCTCTGAGAAACCTAAATAAAACATCCAGATGTTTCAGTTAATTTACTATGTACATTACTTGATTATTGCATTTGTTTTACATGTAAAAGTCTTAGCGTAGATAAGCATGGAAAGCAACCCTTGGCTGGTTTGTGAAGTCCGACAGACACGGAGCGTGAAGCGCACGCCTGACCACAGAGCAGAAGGGACTTTGGCCAGCAACACATAATCCTCTCTAACAAGACATGCTGACAGTGTTAAATTAACTATGGGTGTAAACCAACACCAGTATCCCATCCAGTGTTTTCCAAATCTCTATATTTCTCTCTATACTCATATACTTACTCTATACTGTTTTTATATTAATTAAATTCAACACCATGATGCCTGATATTCATATTCACACTGTCTTCCTTATCACCATATCTTCTGCCATAATATTCATTTCTGTATCCATTGCTAGTTTTTTCTATCCATATAAACATCCATAGATATATCTGTACTTTCCGTGCCATTCCTGCCAATTCTCATGCTTTTTTCCCATAACAGTGAAATTTCCATTGCTTTGAAGAGTCTCACGTATGTTAAGACTTTGTCATTGAGCTATTTCTTCAGGGAGAAGAGAAAAAAATGTACAACCCCACCCCCAGTCAAATTTAGTGATTTTTCAATGCATCCCTGGAGGGGTGTGTCTTTGATTTGATTGGTTGGTATGATCTTCCCACAGAATGTACATAAAACAGAAAACAGGACAGATAAACAATTCCATGACATCCCAGAGAGATCTGTGGCTTAATTATGAAACATATTTCAGATCCTTTTCAGATTATGCATATTTGATATTCACCATAATTGAGATGCAGGTTTTAAGCTGCCTAATCCTTAAATCTAATTCTCATACAAACAGTATTGACAAAAGCATTGGGACACCAGGTCATTATACCTACAGGATTTTTATGACACCCTATTTTTAATCCATAGGCATCAATATGGAGTCGGCCCCCCCTTTGCAGCTATAACAGCTGCCACTCTTCTTGGGAGCCTTCCCACAAGATTTTGGAGTGTGCCTGTGGGGATTTTTGCCCAGTCATTCAGAAGAGAATTTTTGAGGTCAGGCACTAACGTGGGACGTGAAGGCCTGGCTCACATTCTCCATTCTATTTCATCTCAAAGGTGTTCAGGGCTCTGTGCGGGCTAGCAAAGTTCTTCCACATCAAACTCACCCAACCATGTCTTTATGGATCTTGTTTTGTGCACAGGTTGGAACAGAGAAGGGCCTTCCCCAAAGTGTTCCCACATAGTTGAAAGCATAGAATTGTCCAAAATGTCTTGGTATGCTGAAGCATTAAGAGTTCCCTTCACTGGAACTAAGGGG